TTGTTGAAAATGTCAAAAGTCCCACATCGGTGGGTGACATATTTGGTTGGGATTTTTTCCCTATAAAAGGAGGCCTAATGTTTAGGATCCAAAACACCTCTCGTTTGCCTTCTTCTTAAGGCATTTGTATCTTCTTTCTTTAGTATTATTTCACTTGTATTTTTGGAGTGGAATAAAATATTGGTTGTGTCCGAGGAAGTAGGCAAAATTGGCCGAACCTCGTAAATTCTGGTGTTCTTTTATTGTTGTCTTATTGTCTTATTTATTATTTGGTGGCTGTCATAATTTTGGTATAGTAATTGTGACTCATTCACACTATATACATTTGGCTTCCGCAACAGGAGTTGTCGCCATGTGACCAGGAGGTCACGGGTTCAAGCCTTGGAAACAACCTCTTATAGAAATACAAGCTAAGGTAGCATAAAGTAAAATAGACTCAATGTGGTTCGACACTTCCCGGACCCCACTTATAGAGGGAGCTTAGTGCATTGAACCCCTTTTCACACACACACACACACATATGCTCCACATTGAAAATGCTCGTTCTGATGAACCATTTTGCCCATGGGGGGTATCGGACTCTGCATATTGTCAATAAAGTTTCTATGGACCTACCCCCAAGCCTTTTTAATCTATTGGCGGGGGAGCGTGTCGTCAGTATTCAATCCTTCAATCTACTGTGACTCAATACCAAGCTGGTTGAGTTTGATTATATGAATCCTCTGAATCCATTCCTCTCTATTTGGGATGATTTCATATTAATATTAAATAATTTGTCCTTATTTTGGCCATGGGACGTGGCGACTCAGAGGCAGATGGCGCCTATTTTAATGGGTTCAACTGAGCAAATATTTTTGAAACTTAGTATAGATGCATATGCGAACGGGAGCCTTGCGTAACCGGTAAAATTGCTGCCATGTGACTAGGAGGTCACGGGTTCAAACCGGGAAACAACCTCTTGCAGAAATGCAGGTTAAGGTTACGTACAATAAACCCTTATAGTCCAGCTCTTCCCGGACCCCGCACATAGAGGATGCTTAGTGCACTGGGCTGCCCTTTTTTTTTTTTTAAGTTATAGATGCATATGTGAAAACACACTAAAATTTCAACAAATATTAAATTCTAAACCCCATAATTTAAAAGTACATCGTGTTTAGTGCTAAGAACCTTAAAAGTTGAACACATCAAGCTTAAATCTTAGATCTGTATTTGCATGGCGTCAATAAGTGCACATGAATTTGAAGTAAAATATGAGCTGTTGAGAAAGATTTCTCTGTTTTTTTTCCTTTCCTTTTCCAATTGTACATCTGGCAATTGGAGAGAAGAAACTCGGCTTTGCCGATATTTACAACAACTCCTGATTTAAGATGCTCTAGATATGTTGTAGTTTTTCCTTTTTTTTTTCTCTTCACTTCACAAATTATTTGTCTAGTAGATTGGCTATTACTAACTTGATATGGTTTTGTACTGTAGACATAGAGTGCTAGTCATTTTGAGGTTGCCATTATACCGATTGTAGTGCTTAGCTTGTAATTATTCAGCCAGTAGCTTGACCTTCTATGGTTGTTCTTAAGGAAGAGCTGGGACATTTTAGCTCTAAATTTAGGGGGGACATTAACATTTTTTTGATTTGTTTCATAATATAAAATGCCTACATTGAGAGGATACGACTGTAATTCATCGATTTTTTTTGAACATACAGTGCCTGCATTGAGAGGAAAGGACTACGGAAAGACAAAAATGCGGTATCCGGACTATAATGAAACTCAATCAGGTCTCCAATATAAGGTTACTAATATGATAGTATTCATAAACGAGCTCAGTCTTGTTTTTTCATGTATAGGTTGCACTGGATTTTGACTGAGTCTGACAAAACATGCAGGATTTGAGAGTTGGAAGTGGGCCCACACCAAAGATTGGAGAGACAGTGGTGGTAAGCCTGTGATGGCTCACTCTAATTTATCTTTCGCGCCAAATTAGTTGTTTAGTAGCCAGTTTTTAGGGAGAAATTTTGCAGAGAAAAGATAAGGTTTATTAATCAAGTGACTTGGATTTACCTTTATAGAAGCAATTTAGAGAACTGCAGTTCCAAGCTGACATTAATCTAAGTATTGTTTGGAGTTAAATTTTCGTTTCTTTTTTGGTCAACCATCATTTTTATCCATTGGATGCTTTAATTTATGTATCTTTAACAACTGAATTTAGGTTGACTGGGATGGTTACACGATAGGTTATTATGGTCGCATATTTGAAGCTCGTAACAAGACAAAAGGTGGTTCTTTTGAGGTACTAATCTGGATTGAATTTAGTTAAATATGGGGTTCTTGCACAGTCTTAGGAACATTATTTGCTGTATTTTATGGTACAATGTTCGTCATGTTTCATTATGCTGCAGGGAGATGATAAGGACTTCTTCAAATTCAGAGTAGGATCCCAAGAGGTGAGTTTCTTCGACAAACATCCAATGCTTTCCGGACAAGGCGATTTAATAGTAATGCTATATGCCTAAAATATCTCTGGTGTAAAAACCATGTTCTGAAATTGCATTATTATCAGTACGATAAACAAATTATACTGATTCTACCACACTTTGTCGGTTACGCTTGATCTTTTTCTTGTCACTTTTTAAATCTGTTAGAAAGGTTTCCAACAGCATTGCTGTTTATCATATATTCAGGTAATACCGGCATTCGAGGAAGCTATTACTGGCATGGCAATTGGTGGTATCAGAAGGTAATATAGGTGTATTTTACTGAGAACAGATCCATTTACCTTTAGTTTACGATCATTGTATCCTTAAATAGAAGATTGGACTCTTGTAACGTCAAGTTTTGCTAAATTTTGGAATTTTTGCACTTGTAAGACCAAGAGTGTCGAATGCAAAAGAGAAAATCCACCTCTCGCCACTTCAATCTAGGATATGACTGGTGGGATTAGACATAACTGGTCTGACTTAAATGATTCTGTATTCTCATTAATAAGGGCTCGACTTGAATACAGTTACCTGATGAGCAGCAGTGCCTCAGAGAATGGTAGTTGAGTCTTCACAGGTTATACTGATCTCCTATTTATATGGTCAGTGTGGTTGTAGTCGGCCGCCCAAAATGCCTATGTTCTTTATTAAAATACTATTTTGGTTGAATTGATTCTTTTTTACATGCTGCATTTGTTCGTAGTCAACTGAGACCTTATTTAGGTAGGGGCGGATGTAGCCTTATAGCTACGGGTTCATATGAACCCATAACTTTCCACACAGAGTATAGATATATATGTAAAAACCTATTAAACCCATAAATTTTAATAGTATAATGAGTTAAATACCGAAAATCCTAAAAGTTGAATTCATTACATTTAAATTCTGTATCCGCCTCTGTATTTAGGGGTTTTCAAAAATTAGCTATATTTTATCCACTTGTTCCTAGGAACAGCACCTGACAACAATGTTGCATCTCACTGTCACTTCTACTACATAGCTTCTTTATTACTATCTTTGCAATGACTAGTGAGGACTATATCATGTATTCTCTGTTTCATTTTCTCCTCGCAATAGTGCAGGATCATAGTTCCTCCGGAGCTGGGATACCCTGATAATGACTACAACAAGAAAGGTCCAAGACCAACGACATTTTCGGTAAAATCTCAATTCCTTATAAAGCTGTGTTCTATGGCACACATCCGTTTTCTCTTAAAAAGTTCCATTTTTTATATTTTACAGGGACAAAGAGCTTTAGATTTTGTGCTGAGGAACCAAGGATTAATTGATAAGACTCTCCTGTTTGATATTGAGCTCCTCAAAATCGTACCAAAATGAAGTTGCATGTTCAACTTTTACTACGACACCCTGTTTAGCTGCATCAGCAAGTTTAACTTCCACTTGGACAAAAGGAATATCAGCTTAATGAACGACTGATTCGTCCCTTATAGAGACTTTACTGTCTTGTTTGAACGCATTAAATTGTCGATAGATTCATTTTGAAAATCAATGTAAACAATGATGGGTCTAGGTACTGTTGTTGTAATGATGTAACGACATCTCTTATGTTCATAAATTTGACTATTTCTTGTGAAGTTGATATTTCAGGACAGCATTGGTTTGTGAATAAGATTGTTGATTACTGTGTATTTCGGAGACTAGTTGTTTGAATTTTTATGTTGATAGTGGACTAGTAGTTGTTTGAAATTTTACTGTTCCAACCATAGCTCCATATTGTTTTTATCTGCAGATATGCAAATGGTTCCTCTAAGCAACTAGGTTGCATATTTATGGCTGATGTGCGAACAAAGTGAAAATAGCATGGGCTAGCCAGTTTTCGGATTGGTAATCGAAAAATAGCCAGCATTTGCAAAGTCATTGAAAAATAAACATTATCTTAGCTGAAACACGAAAAGTTCTAGCATAATATGGTAGATTATGGACCCACGAGCAAACCAAGCTTTAGTGTCTGAATCATTTGTGGTAGACCACAGCGGAACCTCATTAATATTCTATTAATTGACTACAGAGCAAATGTATTAGCCTGGAATAACATTGAGGAAGTAATTATTCCTGTATTCATGGTAGAATCTCAGAACTGTTTTTTAAAAAAAAAAAAAAAAAAAAACTCATTATTTAATTGGAATCCAATGCGATTTCCGGTTCTTTGAACAAAAAAAAGTGCTGTAAGTTTGTTCAAAAGACTCACTCCCCAAGTATATTTATTTTTGCAATTTCTTGGATATACATAATAGTCAAGATGTTACCTTACTACAGATATCAGTAACTCTGTCTACCAGAAAATAGTAGCATGAGAATACAAGGTTCTCTACAAAGTGAAACCATTGATTTCGCCAACTGCTATTTACACAAAGAGTTGTGATGACCCCAATGAAAAAAACTGGAAAAGCCACTGAAAAGCTTATGTAGAATATCTCCATATCTATGAATCCATCTTCTCCTTCTTCTTCGTTTCCATCGTTTGATTGAATCGGATGTTCCAATTGAGCATTGGTGCAATTGATATGCAATGGTGGTCCGCAAAGAAAAGGATTGCCCTCATAGCTGCTTTCGTCAAATGTACTGAACTGACCTTTAAGCTCGGGTACAGCACCTGATAAATTGTTGTGTGCTACGCTGAAGACTGCCAACGAATGTAGCTCTAGTAACTCATCAGGAATTCTTCCACTCAACTTGTTGTAGGAGAGATCTATGCATCCAATTTCGTGCAAATTGGAGAATGTCTTTGGAATTGATCCAATGAGATTGTTATGCGAAAAGTTTAGTACTTGTATCTCACTTAAGTTGCCAAGCTCAATAGGAACTTCACCGCTTAAGTGATTTGAAGAAAGATCAATTCCAGACATGTAAAGTAGGGGGCCGCCTTCATAATTAAAGGAAGAGCTCTTTGTTGTAAACTCTACCTTCATTCTTACCGCGTCAAACATAGTGTATACACTCGTAAATGCTACACTTTGAAAGGCAAAACTTTTCAGTGCTGGTAAGCGAAACATTTGTTGAGAAGTCACCTCTTGACTTATGTTACTCAAGCAGCTAGGAATTGATTCTGTGAGATGATTATGAGACAAGTCGAGCATTCTCAATCTTTGTAGATGACATAGGTGGTTTGGAATTTCACCTTCAAATTTGTTGTTTTTAAGAAGAAGAATGTTGAGTGCAGGAAGGTTGCCAATCCATTGTGGAATGGTTCCTACAATATTATTATCACTGAGATCTAGAGTGAGCAAAGCTGAGTTGTTCGTCGATCCATGGGTAAGGTTTCCACTCAGGTGATTCTTGTTGAGAAAAAGGTGTTCCAAGTGGCTGAAACAAGATGGAACCAATCCGGAGAACTGGTTCTCCGACAAGTCTAAGAACCTAAGACGATCAAGATTGCACAATTCTATGGGAATGGGACCTCGAAGATGATTATGAGACATGGCAAGTAGGACTAATCCTGACATCTGACCCATCCACTGCGGAATCATGCCAGACAAACTATTGTTGCTGAGTTCGAGCACTGCCAAATTAGTGGAAGAAAGTGACTTCGGAATTTCGCCTGTGAAGTTGTTTCCATTCAAATGCAAATATTGCATTGACTGTGGAATGACAACTTCGGTTGGTAATTCTCCTGAAAAGTGGTTGTTTGCCAAATCTAGTGCTTCAAGACGTTTCATTTGCCAAACGCTAGCAGGTATTTGTCCCTCGAGATAATTTCCACTCATTTTCAAAAGTACGAGATTTGGAATCACTGAACTTATATTTGCTTGAAGTTGCCCACTTAATCGATTCTCTGATATACCGATGTACTTGACACTAGGATGGGCATGTAAAGGCAGGTTGAAGGATCCAATGAAAGCATTACCACCCAGAGACAATCCTGTAAGTTGTGTGTTATTTTGGAAAAGCCAATTCGGGAAACTTCCTCTTAAATGGTTCAATGAAAAATCAAGGAACGTCAACTGATTTTGGTAGTGAAGAAATCTAGGCAGCGTTTGAAGGTGAGTACAATTCGACATGGAAAAGATTTTCAGTTGGAACGTTGGAACCCAAGCACGACTTTCAGTTTCTGGAACACCGATATTTCCATCAGTATATACCTCTATAAGGCTAGAATGATTAGCAAAGGCCTCAAAGGAAACCGGGACTTCTAAGTTGTTATTCAAAACGTTTAGAGATACGAGAGATGTGAGTTTAGAAAGTGGAGAAGACGCAATATTTCCAGTGAACCGATTGTTAGAGATATCGACACTTTGAAGAAAGGTTAAGTTTGCAAGACAAGAGGGAAGCATTCCATCAAAGTTATTACTACCAACTCTGAGCTCTTGGAGGTTTTTAAAATGGCACCAGTCTGCAGAAGAGCAATCGACGAATATAAATCAAAGAAATGAAATCAGACTAATTAAGCTAATGTAGAGAAAACTTGAAACCAACATACCGTAATCAAATGATCCAAAAGTATGTAAATGATTCCCGGATATATCCAGATACTTCAATCTGGTGAAATCATTTAAATCTGCTTAAATGAAGAACGATGTCACTATACATTAACAACTCCATTTGTACTTCACATACCACAAAACATATTTCTATAACAACATCTCTATATAACAATCATTTGCCAGAAAAATCAAATGTTTCTCGAAATCAATTATTATGTTATATTATAGTATATGTCCTCTATATATAACAGTACTTCACTGTAACAACCAAAAAATATCAGAATAAACGAGATTGTTATAGAGAGATTTCACTGTATAATATTTCGGATGTAAATCGAGAAACTCACTTAAGATTGATTGCAGATCGTTGTGATTTCTGAGAGTATATCCTAAGTCAAGGACTTCCAAGTTGCTCAAATTTGTGAGTTTGTCAAAGCCTGTGAGAAGTATACAAAGATACTACTAGTGCAAATTAGGCAGCAATTAATATAATATGGACTTATAGATATATTCAACAGCAAAAAAAAGCAGCCCGATGCACTAATTTCACGCTATGCATGGGGTCCAGAGAAGGGTCGGACCACAAGGGTCTATATTCGTAATCTTATCCTACATTTCTGCAAGAGACTGTTTCCACGGCTTGAACCCGTGACCTTCTGGTCACATGACAACTTTACCAGTTACGCTAACTTTTTCGGTGCACTAAGCTCACGCTATGCGTAAGGTCCGGGGAAGGGCCGGACCACAAGGGTCTATTGTACGCAACCTTACTCTGCATTTTTGCAAGAGACTGCTTACACGTCTCGAACCCGTGACCTCCTGGTTCATGACAACAACTTTACCAATTACGCCAACTTTACCGGCGTACTAAGCTCTCGCTATGCATGGGGTCCGGGAAAGAGTCGGACCATAAGGGTCTATTGTACACAACCTTAACCTGCATTTCTGCAAGATGTTGTTTCCACGGCTCGAACCTGTGACCTCGTAATCACATGAAAACAACTTTACGAGTTAGGCAATAGCTCCCCTTCTATAGATATATTCAACAACTTTCGGGAAAACAAACTATAACACTCAAGCATTTAAATTAAAGTAATCAAGAATTGTGAATTGAGAAAGAAATTACTGTAGGTACATACTAGGTTTAGTAGGCACACTGTCCAAAGGATTGCCGCTGAGAATTAAAGACTTGAGAGATGTAAGCTGACTGAGAGACGAGAGAACACCAAGATTGAACTTATTACCACTTAAATCAAGAACCTTCAAATTCCTTAACTCAGACAACTTATCAAAACCTGTCAAATAATCTCGAACATGTGAGTTAAGTTGAAATAGATTGACTAAAATAAGTATTCCACTAAAAAAAAAATTAATCCGATGCACTAAGCTCCTGCTATGTGCGGGGTCGGGATGGGCCGGACCGCAGGGGTCTATTGTATGTAACATTTCCGCAAGAGGCTGTTTCCACAATTCGAACCTGTGACCTTTTTGTCACATGGTAGCCCGGTGCACTAAGCTCCCGCTATGTGCGAGGTCCGGGGAAGAGCCGGACCACAAGGATTTATTGTACGCAGTCTTACCCTGCATTTCTGCAAGAGGCTGTTTTCACAGCTCGAACCCGTGACCTCCTGGTCACATAGCAGCATGGTGCACTAAGCTACCGCTATGCGCGGGATCCGGGGAAGAGCCGGACGACAAGGGTATATTGTACGTAGCCTTATCCTGCATTTCTGCAAGAGGCTGTTTCCATAGCTTAAACCCGTGACCTCCTGGTCACATGGCAGCCCGGTGCACTAAGCTCCCACTATGCGCGGGGTCTAGGAAAGGGCCGAACCACAAGGGTCTATTATATGCAGCATTCCTCTACTTTCTGCAAGAGGCTGTTTACGTAACTTGAACCTGTGACCAGAAGATCACATGGTACCAACTTTACCAATTACGCCAAAGTTTTCCTCCAAAAACAACTATTCCACTAGTATTCTCAAAATACAAGAAAATCCATACCTTCATTTTCAAACCAACCTACTAAGTAGTTGTTAGGCAAGTTTAGAACCACAAGACTTTGAAATGGCAGAAACATAGACGCATTGAAATATATAGTATTCTGTTTTGGGTCTGTCCCATGGACAGAGAGTTCAATTACTTGCATTGTAGTACTGTTACTACATTTTACACCTTCCCATTTACAGCAGTCACTTTTCTTATTATCCACCCAAGTGGAATAATGAGTATTTTTAAAGGCTGCTTTGATATGCAACAGAGCAATTCTCTCTTCTTCCAAACAGGTTGAATTACCATAAACCAAACCAACCAAAACAATTACCCAAAACCATAGTAAAGTACTGATCTCCATTTTTCTGAACACAGTCAGGATTTTTTGTGTTATAGCATCTCTTAAATAAGAATTGGATGAGTACATATTGTCTACTCAAGTCATTTTCAAAGTAGTAGTGTCACGTTGTCAGTCATAGGTCAAATAATTAATTACACTTGACTAATTCAATAGTAGTATTTTCTACAGTACTGTAAGTCATTATCTTACGATAAATGGAGACTACTAGTCAAGACTCCATATATATATATATATATGTTTTTCTCCATATTGCTTCCTTTATGGTATATTCACGTAGATAGGGGTGTACATAGGAAGGGTCAAATATGCCCCTATATTATTGAAAAAGGTCTAATATTGCCCTCCGTTATACCATCAGTCCAAATATATCCCTAACGTCATACTATCGGTCCAAATATATCCCTAACATCATAAAATGGTACAAACCTGCTCTTCCTCTGTTAACTGCTTCCATGTGACAATAATTCATTTCCAGCTCACCATTATACTCCCATTTTCATCCCTTTCCCACAACCTTTCTTTCCCGTTCATTTGAAGAAAAATCACAGATCATAGATATACAAACAATGTGAACCGAGAAAATTCTGATTCTGCTATTCAAACTTCATGCTTATACAAACGAAAATACATTTTGTTTTATATAAAAAAACTAAGCAAAGACACAGGCGAACTAGTTTAAGGTTTCAAAATTGACCATGGTGAGAAAGAAAAACAACCTAGACACGAGAGTTAATTTTTTTTGTTTCTTTCTCTTCAACCACATTTCTGGAAGGCTACCATTTTTTTCACTCTTTACGTTTTATGTTAGAATAAAAGTACTACTAAATTTTTCCTAAATAGGTCTTACAAATTCAGCGGCAACACAAGAAAATGCAAAATAAAACACAAAATTGTAAGGTCAAGTGAAAGGTACGTACAATTCCAGGATCGACCGGAGAAGCAACAAGTATTTTGAAAAGCAAGAGGAAATAGAGGCAGTGAAGTCTTCAAAATAATGATAGAACTTCAAAGTAATTGAATTTGGTAGTTGCAAACAGGGTGAAATGGTGAGGTAACAATAAAATGTGTTCATAGAGGAGGCAGTTAACGGAGGAAGGGTAGGTTTGTACCACTTTCATGATGTCAGGGATATATTTGGACCAATAGTATGATATTAGGGGTATATTTGGATTGATAGTATAATGAAGGATAATATTAAACCTTTTTCAATAGCATAAAGGTATATTTGACCCTTTTCTGTTTGATTTTTATCAAAACCAAACCAAACCTATCGGTTTGGATTGGTTCTGTTTTGTCGGATTTTTTGGGTTTTCGGATTTTTTGTTACTTATTATTTCAATCTTACTTTGTTAAATATTTGATAAGTAAATATATATTTAGTAAAAATATAAAAAATTGACAAACATATTATCGGTTAAAATATTCTTATGGGAGAACTCTATTAGTAACAAACAATAGTTATTTTTTAGTCTTCTGACAATAATTTTTCATTGATATACACTTTCAGGTTAACCAGATTTAGTCATTAAACATAAAAATCATATGATACCTAAATATTAATAATCACTTCATTTTCGAAAAAGATATAAGAATTTAATAGATCTTAACATATGATATGAATATGGAAGAACAAAGAAATAGACATATTTTAATAACACTTGATAAGAAAGTTATCATACAATCCAATATTTAAGGTCAATAAATATGGAGCACTTCATATTCTATTAATATTTATATCCCGCAAGAGAATCCCAAATATTTCTAAATATTTTTTAAAGAAAATTCTATATAAAATCTTAAAAGTATATATAGAAGTTATATATTTATATATCGGGTTGGTTCGAATTTTTTTACTCAATACCAACCCATGATCAAACCAAACCAAACCAAGTCGGGTTTTTTAATTAGTTAGGTTTGACTTTTCTGTTTGGTGCGATTTTTCGGTTCGGTTTGTACACCCCTACATGTAGATCAATAGATGTATAGAGATAATCGAACAATTATCTGATTCTTAATTTTGACAAATAAAAGGTATTTCTTCTTACTAATTCTTTTTCGATAGGAAAATAATTGTGTTTTGTTAATAGATTTTCCTTAACAATCAAGTTACCATACAATGATCCATATCGATTATTTATAGAAATTTGTATTGTGTTCTTTCGTCTATAATTATTTAATCAAAGATTTAGTTTAAAAATATTATTTTACAACATTTTATTCTACATAGCTCGAAATACATGTGCAACGCACGTATAGAGAGACTAGTATATATGTATATGTGTATATATATATATATTCTGTGTGTTATATCAATTTTTTCTTATAAATTTTATATACTTTTTCGATTATCGAACGTAAATAGTTCTGGCGCATGCTAAAAGTGAAAAAAAAATCCAAATAATAGCTGAAAAATGTATGTATGTATGTGTATACATATACACACACACACACACACATATATATATATATATATACAAAAATTATATAAATTTTATATATTTTTTCGATAAAAATAAATAAAAAAAACCTTGAATTAAAATAAGTATTAAATCGGGTAGTACACGTTAAATTATTTATTACATACGACACATATATAGGGAACTTAAATTAGTTTGTTCGTCTTCACTCAATGAAGACTAATTTTATATTCTGCTGATATGACTTTGATGAATATTTTAGGGGGTTCGGTTGGTGAAATAGAGTCAGTCTTCCATCTACATGACTTTGCTGATATTCTGCTGATAATATAT